TAAATTTTTTAAAACTTAAATTTAAAAATTAAATTATTTAAAAAATATCTTATAAACTTAAAATTTCTTCTAATAAAGTTAATAAAATATATATTAAACTATATTTTTCATATAATTATTATGTTATTAAAATTAAAATTTAATATTTTATTAAAAAAATAACACATTTTTTTAATTTTGTAAACAAATTTGCCTACTAGACAATCTAAGGGATAAAAAAGAAAAAAATATATAAATAATAATAAAAATAATAAAAACAAAGAAATTAGTAATCTTAAATAATACAAAAAAGTAAATAATTAATTATAGCTCATCTTTTCTACTATAATAAACTGATTAATCTGAATCTAAACTAAACTAAATATAAAAAAAAGATTTGTAAATCAATTTTAAAAAACAATATATATAAAGAGAACTTTAATATTATAAAAAATAATTTTTTAAAAAAAGATGTCTTATTTATCAGTTTTACTTTATTTGATAAATAAATAGATTCAAATTGTATATACTTTATTAATAAAAATTTATATAAAATAAAAGATCAAATAATGGTTTACAAGATCTTTAGATAATAATAATTTTATTTTTATTTATTATTTTTACTTTTTTTAAAAAAATATATATAATAACTATATAATTTTTCTTTAAATTTAAAATTTAATATAATAACATTATATTAAATTAATATTGATACCAATAATACATCAAAGTAAGAAATTTTTATATCATTTTAATATAATTTACTATTAGTCTTAATTGTTGAAGTGAATAATATTATTATATTTATGATTAAACATTTTAATTTTTATTTTAATTTTTTTTAAAAAAAAAGAATCATCAATTTTAAATTAAATAAAAAAATATAACCAAAAATCTAAAATTAACATATTTAATAACAAAGACAAATCATCAAAAAGAACTTATAGCAAAATATCTAATTTGATAAATAACTTTTTTAATAATGAAAATGATAAAATTAATAATTAATTACTAAATTTAAAATTGTTTATATTATATTTTTTTTAAATAATAATGTAAAATATTATTATATTTATAATATAAAAAATTGAATAATAAAAATTTTAACTTATATACTAAATGCATTTTTAGTAAATAAATGTATCAAAAAAAAATATTAGACTAGAAAATATATCAATAAAATTATTTTATTTATATATAAAATAAAATAGATAGTAATAAAATTACATACAGTATAAAGCAATTTCTATTATAAATATAATTTTGTAATAATAATAATCCAATTTGATAAAAGATTATATATAATAATATTTATATTATAAAATAAATTTTATATAATAAAAAAATATGAGTAATGGTAACACTTAGATTACCTATATAAATAAACTGATTAAATTGCATAATACTATACAAATATTTAAAAAAAATTTTGTTGCTTAATAAAATTTGAGTTTGAATCATAAAATTAATCATGCAAGTTTTCTTTTTAGATATTTATATAATATTATATGATCTACTCTATTATAAAGTAAAGGTTAGCAGCTAATTTTATTATAATTATTACTTTTTAATTTTTAAAAATATTAGATTAATACTAGTAGATATACATATCTTACCTATTTATTATATAGGTAGATTGCTAGGAAAATCAGGTTCTGGGAATTTTTTAGCAAAATTGAGATTTTTATTGCATTTTAGTTTTTGATGTAATTAGATTAAAATTTATTAAGCTCTTAATTTTAATCAAAAATTTCTCGAAATCTGATTTTCCTAGAAACACTTCCATATAGTCGTTTTATTTCAAAAAATAAAAAATTATTGAAGGACAATACATCAGATTAAAATATTTAAAAATATTTTTATATTTTTAATAATGTTTTTCTTTATTTAAAATTATTTTGATAAATATACTCGATATATTCGTTGGATATAAAAAATATTAAATAGCCTGAGGGAGAAAATTACGAATTTATTTTCAAAAATTAATTCGTAATTTTTCTCCTCAGGCCATACACACACATTATCGTGCAAATCGTACCGCAGTACGATTTCAAATTGGTAAAAATTCTTTAAACTCGTACTGCCCACACTGGTTCTAAAATAATGTCTATTATAGTATGTACAAACGTGCTTATCTACAATAAAACCCTCTCAAAAATACGAATATGAAATTTCTTTATAAATTTATTCGTAAAAAGTATCAGCTATATTGCAAAATCAGTATCATCTTCAGAACCCCTGGTTCTTTCTTCACTGTCAGAATCGCTGTAAAACTAGTTTTTTTTTTTTGTTTCATCCATCAAGTTCAGGTCGGATCTTCAAGCGAATCACCAGCCTCCTATATTTTAGACCGTGAAAAGTACACATTAAGAATCCACTACATGCCGTTAAAATACCTACCATTAAATGATAAATAAAAACAGAATAAATGTTAGATGTATTATTGAAAGAGTAAGGAATTCGTGCTAAGGGCGGTTGGGAGTCAGATCTTAAGAGTCAGTGTATTAAAGGAACGACCACGTAAAGAAAATTACTTATCGATACGTTAAAGCACTGGGGTAATACTTGTCTATAGAAATGAACATCCCGGGTATTCGAACCTATAGGTCAATCAATATTTCGCGAATATTGATGAGCTCGTAACCAGGATGGAAAACCACTACCAAACAACTATACCTTGTAAAGAGCGCGAAAACTATGGGAAGAGCACGTATAGATAAATTTCCACGGTTAAAACTGCACGATTCTACCGCCGGTATGCTAATAGAATGATAAAAAAACAAATGTTAGATTAGTAATCTAAGTATTTTTGTAAGAGTAAGGAATTCGTGCTTAGGCGGTTGGGAGTCAAATCTTAAGAGTCAATGTATTAAAGGAAAGATCACGTACAGATAATTACTTATCAATACGTTATAGCACTGGGGTAATACTTGTCTATAGAAATGAACATCCCGGGCAGTCGAACCTATAGGTCAAACAATATTTCGCGAATATTGTTGAGCTCGTAACCAGAATGGAAAACCACTATTAATACAACAAATACCTTGTCAAAGCACGAAAATGTTGGAAAAGCTCGTTCGAAAAGTTTAGTTAAGATAGAAAGTTGTTTGGAATGTGAGCGTTGTTTTAGGTATGAGAAGTACGAGGAGAAAAAGAAAAAAAATGATGTAAGATCCGTTATATTTTAGTCCATCCCATATCTATTATTACTTAATTTAGCAAGTATTAAAAATTTAACCTCCAGAATGATCTCGTGCTTGTGAGTCATCAATGAGAGTTTTCACGTCGCAGTGAAAAAGCCTATAAATTTTTATAAAAATTCTTTATTTTTTATTTTTTGATCTTAAGCAAACCATTTTTTCTTAAAATTCGCGGTTCCCCGATCACATATTCGTCATGATTTGATGACATTTGACGTTCGTTAATTCTTACTTATTAGGAAATTTATTAAAAAAAAAAAAAAAAAAAAAAAAAAACCTGTTTAAACCTGGATCAGGGGCTTACCGAAAAAAAATTTTTTTAAAGTTTAACATATTGGATTCGGAATATGGATTTGTTGCATAAATCAGAAAACGTGGTGGTATTGTTTCAGAGTTCCCCGATAGACAAATATGCGATTGTTCTTACCACTTACTGGGTAGTATTATTTATACGTATTATATATGTATTTATAATATCAAATTTTTTTTTTTTTTTATGCTATTAAATGAATCGTCATCGAATATAATTTGCACCACTTAAAAAAATTTTATTTTATGTTAATTTAACAGTACAGTAATGCATTATAATGAGTTTTTTTAAAATATCGAAAATCAAATTCTAATAAAAAAATTATTTTTACAAACGAAATTCGAACACCTCATTTTCTACATCAGTTTCAACGTTAAGATCATTAAAATGACCTTTAAGTAATGGATAATGAGTTGATGAGATGTAGTCAACGATTTATTCGCTGGACTGGTCCAGTGGATTTATAACAATTACAATAGAATTTAGCCCAACATTCTTTTTTTCACAATAAATATGCTATTTGGGAGGATTGTTAGGAATATAATTAAAGACTACTTACCATTTAAATAAAAATTCTATCAAACAAACCTTTGGTTTATTACTTGGCAAATGCTGTAGGATATAAAAATAATATATATGTATATTTATAAATAAAAACCACAATGAACTAAGTTAAATGTTTATTAATAAGTGCGAGATTATAAGCGAGAATATGAAACGAGAACTGTGGAAAAACTCCTAAGAGTGATATGGGTGAGGGGAGTTCCGGCTCCCTGCTAAAGTGCCTAACCTCTCCGAAGAATGGTTAATAGCGGCGGAAAGACGAACACAACTTGGGGGCGAGAGATTTTCTGTTCAATATTATATTTAATTAAGAATAATGTCGCTCCCTCTAAAAGAGTTGCCGACACTTATATCTTCATTTATGTGTAATTACTAACTATTTGTTGAGGGGGGTTTTTATTTCCTTTAATTTTAAGAAAATTTTTATGTGGTCAACCAATCATAGTAATTTATTTTGAAAATGCTGCGCCAAATAAATTTTGACGTGATTTAATTTCTTACAGAACTCTTTTAAACAACGTGTATTGAAATTCACAAAACAAATGTAAATAGTTATGAAATTTTAACATCTCCTGATTACATTACAGATAGGTCGAAGTTAAAAGATAAGAGGAGGCGAAACCAATAATCCCATTGGTGGTATTTATGGATCGTAAAATACATCGGATATTAGGATGCTGATTTGAAATGCGGAGAAACAAAAACCGGTCGTTATTTCTACACTTTTGCACAGTTCCAAAATCTCACAATAAATTTAACTTTAAATACAAAGAAATGGAAATTAT